TAAGACCTTGCTTACAAGACGCTTTGCCAGGGTGTATATAAACTAATTTAATGTGATGTCCTTATTATAAACTCTACTTTCAATTAAAAGTCTTTATGTGTAAATTGTAACGTTCTATAAAAGTTTCAAATTAAGCTAAGCGTACGATAAAAATGAAGTCAACAACAAGCAGAAAACAATCTCTCAATTGCACCAGAAGTTCATTCTAAAATTGATACCGATGAAAAAACCGCATCCTTCCTTTATTCTAGGCGTTCAGAAGCTTAGGTAAAGGATAATTTACCTATTGGAAAAGATGTTCCAATATAAAGATGATGGCGGCCTGCTGATATTTTCAAATGTCTTAAAATAGGAAGACCTACGTCATGAAAGGCCTTGACAGCAGCATCAATATGTAACAAATGCTTAAGATTAACTGTCAATGATTGAATATTATTTTAAATACAAGGTAAAACATCTGAATAATATTGTTTGAGAAGTCGCTCAAGAGAATAATGATGATAATCAAAACTTAGGTCAATTGAACAACATTTATCAGGAACAAGTTGTTACAAATGATGATTTTCGATACTAATAATAGAACATAGTAGTATTGCTTGAAGTTTGACTTTATTCAATGTGGTTAAGATCATTTCATTAGATAAGTCAAGTAGTTCGATAATATTCTCTATAGAAAAAGAATCAAGAAAAAAAATAATTTGATTAAATAATTACTGACTTCTTTTTAATAAATAATTCATTATTTACTCGACACATTCATCGATATAGACTACACATATTATTGTATATTTATATGTAAGCACCTATTTGTATTGACGAACATTGTTTAAATGTTGAGTAAAATGACGGATTTTGTTCTGATAACATTATTCAATATTGAAAATAGTTGATAAAATATATTACGTATACTATGATTAAAATCATGTGATCGATTAGTTTGATACTCGTTTTCTCGTCGTAATAATTAAGTTTTTTGTAAAAAGAAAATTCCGATCGACTGGTAATCATTACTACTAGATATTTGTAATTCTGTCTCAGTTGTAATCAAGTACATTGAAGTCGATTCAATTGTTTTTTTATCATTAATTTGAATCCAAAATAATAAAGAACATTCATGATTACAGTCAATGACAATATGAAATAATTATAGTTTCCAAAGTTGTTATTCATAACATTCAGAAATGATAGGCATCCTACGACTATTTAGTCCTCGAGAAATCTTTTTGCATTCAACAAAAAAAAATACACAAAAATGTGCTGGAGTCCATGCTAGTGGCGTAACCACGAGGGGGGGGGGCTAGGGCGGGGGGACTGAGCCCCCAAGAATTGTTTGAGACCCCCCTAGAAACTTTTTAGTTCTCATGAAAAATAGAATTGTTTCTTATTTGGAAGGCTTTTCTGAGCAGAGGGAGCGAGACACTTAAGTTCATCCTATTCAATATCCGATATTTTTCTTTGATAAAATAGAAGAACAACATTAATGCTTCAAACCGACGGAGAAATCGATGAACTTCTCTGATGGAAAAAATTATTTACTCATTTCTGATTGTGGGAAGTTTCCGATCTGGTCAGTGTAGTCTTAATACATTTTCATAAGAGAGATGTGGAAATTTTTGTTAGATTCAAATTATTGATCTTGTCGAGAATGGATCTATTTTCAGTAAGTATTATTTAGAATTTCTCACTACGGTTTTTAGTGACAGGCCGCAGCATGGACACCTACGTTAGTACTGTGTGCAGGACGATATTGAACTGGAGATATTTTTTTAGTAATTCGTTCGTTCAAAATGCTCTCCTAAATTACCTCATATAGACTACCGAAAATTCTTGTTCCATTCTTATGGGTCTCGTGCTAAAAGAACAATTTCGAATTTTCGTTCTGGAAAATTATTTATTGAGAAATATAAGGGGCGTAGAACCGACTTTTAATGTGAGTTTACTTATCGAAAAATATGTGATATCAAAAATGGACACTTTTCCTTTAAAGCAATTCGTGACAGCAATAATCAAGATTTTGTTGCAACGAAGTTTTAGTGATTCTCTACGTTTTCGTTTTTATCTGAGCTGTAGTCAGTAGCGAAATGAATCATTATCTGATAATGTCATCTAAAATTGACTTCATATCAGTAAAATCGGACAAAGTGCTTTCGAAAATCTTTCTCTTGGGAGCAGGTATTTATCGCTCGAAAAAGCTTTTCGGCCATATTCTAACAGACTGCATGTGATGGATTGTAAAAATTCTTGATACTGTCTTAACGAACAAATGAGAACACTCGGGCGCTCCTTGGGATCTTGATGGGTAGACCTATAAATATATTTTAAATCGACTATCATATCGTTCATGCTATCACAAATATTGACTCTGTTCTAATTCAATGTATTTTAATTTTTGAAACACTGGCTAAAAAGAGTCACGCTTCTAACTATTTCATTTGGAATCACTATGCTCCTTGCATAGCATGCGACTAATTTTGAGTACTTAGTTTCTGGTTCAGACAGCATATTGGAAATTACCTTTGACAAGTACTTAGATCCGAATTATTATGTGAAATTGTATTCATCGTACCCATCGAGCATGAAAAAGTCCTACTTTTATGATAAAAATTGTGAACTCAGAGGACACTCTCTAAGAAATTTTTAAGTGTTGAAATACCGGTCTCAACTAGTCTCGTACAGAGACCGAAACGAGTCAAAAAAATCTGATTCGACTCGACTCGACTCGACTTAAGTATTCACTCGATTCGATTCGACTCGACAGACATTTGAAAAAACCTAACTCGACTCGACTCGACTCNTTTCGCTAATAAAAATACTGCAGAAATTTTATTTTCGAATTAATTAATTTCCGTCATCGGTTCCTATTTTGAATTCAAACAAGTTTATATATAGAGAGAAGTCTTATAAATATATAGGCTTTCATTTTATATTTATCGATAAGTCTTTTGAATGAAAACGCACTTTGTCGAACAGGAAAAAAACTGAATTGTCTTGATTGTTGATATTTTCTATTGATCATCAAGTCAAATCAATGTTTTTATACTTTTTATAAGGTTTATTTGACCATGTTTGTCACTACTAACTTTCAGTTCTCGGACATTTAGAATTTTCAATCTCTTTCTGAATTTTCTCCTTTGATGATACACAGCTACAATTATTTCTAGCACTTTTTGTGCCAAAACTATTTAAAATTCTTCTTACTTATTCAATCTTATATTAAGGAAGATCGCGTTACTCAGTAAAAGAGTTTCATGGTCCCAAGAGCTGAGCTAAACAAGAATCGAATTCAGAGTTTCGTTTAATGAGCATGATGGAGAATTAAGTCTTGTCCACTCGTAAAATTATCGTGTGAATGAAAGTCATCAAACCGTAAGTTTAGTAGAAAGTTTTCAGCTAATTTTGAGAAGCTCTCGCTCGTACGTATTTGAGATTGAAGATACCTTACATATCAGCAAGTATTCAAGATAATAGATACATTCCATATTCACGTAGTTATAACTTTATTCCAAAAAAATTCAAATATCTCTACATAATTTCCTAAATTTCAACATCTACTTGATTGACTACATGTTTGAAAGTGTTTTATTTCAGAATTCAGGTCCATATTCATGTGTCAAAGATTTTCATAAAACCGATCTTAAAATTGATTCATAAATACTCTTAGTTGCGAATTGGCATACTAGATTCTATTGCTCTCATGAAAACAAGTCGAATCACAAATTGAAACGTATACAATGGATTAATGCTAATTTGTAAATTTCATAATAATAAAAAGTCTGAAACATTAGTTCGCCTGGTTTGGCCTGCGGACTAGGCTGAAAAAAGTGGCCTGTTGGCAGCTCTGTTAAGTATTGTCTTCTCTCTTCCAGAACGTTCCCATTTGCATTAAAACAACGTTCAATTGTGGCTGAACTAGCTGGAACTCCCAATAGCCTTTTACCAAAGCTTTATTTCGCTCTAACATAAACATCGACTTCTTCCAAATCAGAAAGATGTCAAGTGTATCTTCGAAGTTTTTTGTCAAAAAACTGTTAACAATATGAATAACAGCTTGTACCACCACCGCACTACCCTGTAGGGTAGATTAGGACTCCCTTACAGAGCTCTAGTTCGCATTTCTACCCCTGTACTTCGCCACTTGTTTTAGATCGTGTTTCGCTAATAAAAATACTGCAGAAATTTTATTTTCGAATTAATTAATTTCCGTCATCGGTTCCTATTTTGAATTCAAACAAGTTTATATATAGAGAGAAGTCTTATAAATATATAGGCTTTCATTTTATATTTATCGATAAGTCTTTTGAATGAAAACGCACTTTGTCGAACAGGAAAAAAACTGAATTGTCTTGATTGTTGATATTTTCTAAAATAATTATCAAAACGATATAATTTCAACTTGATCTTATGAACATTCTTCGTGAACTTGTTAGATAAATACCATCTTGTATAACTATGCGAAGATATGAGCAGCTACCGGGATTTACAATATTTATTTGATCTGACAAATTTATCAATTCATAGCATGTGCTACGCTTTAGTTGTACCAAAAGAAAACTGTAGCTTCTATGGGCCAGCCTCACCCTCGACTAAATGCCTGCTCTGAGATTAATTCTTTCCATTCGATAATAAAATGTAAAACGAGATGCATAGAACGATCCCGAAAAAATAAATTCTAGAAGCTGTTGCATTCTCTACATCTTATATATTACTATTATTATTTCACAGAATGGATTCAATTTATAAAAATGACTATTGATCTTCATAATTTCGAACGAGTAGTTAGTGTTAGTAAACATTCATAAGTCTACAACTTATTCATACGTATAACTAGATAACTGTAATTTTAATTTTAAATTAAACTTGAATCTATTTCATTCAATTCGAAGTTAAAATAATTTGTTCGCGAAATGACTTGCACCAATATTCTTATCAACGAATAAATTTATTTTTAGTCTTTTTTTTAAATTTATGATTTTTTTAATGTAAAAGTTGTTTCACCTTCAATGACGAGTGATCCATCAACATCAAGTGGATCAATGAAAAAAAGTAGCCAACCAGAAACAACTGCTAGTTCGAAAAAAGCAAGTAGTGATAAAGGACCTGAGCAACGCTATTTTCATATTCCACTTATTCGTCCTAATGATCAAAATCGAGATAATAATAATGAACAAAAAAAAAAAGCACGGTGGTATGCTCATTTTGATAGTTAGATTAAATATTTATTTTAATTTTTTAATTCTTTCTGTTTTCTAAATAAATTTTCTTAGATAAATGGATTGTACGTCAAATGCAAATTTATCCAAATGAAAAGGCAGTACTTCTTATTGCAGGTGTTGACGATATGAATATGTGTAAATTAAGTTTAGATGAAACAGGTTTAACATCGAGAGTAGGTGCTGAGATTCTTGATAGTAATTCTGAACAAGAATGGTTTAAACATGGTGGTCGAGAATATTTAAATTCGCATTTTGGACAAATTAGTTCGAAATTTGTTGTTCAATTACTTCAAAATTATTGTTAAAAATATATTTATTGATTTGATACACAGTGAACAAAACCAAGCAACAAAAGATTGCTTTTCTTTTTATCGATTTCTACGAAAAATTTTATCCTGTTGTTTTCAAAAAAATGTAAGGTGCATAGAATACAAACTTCAAAAGAAATTTATTTTTTGACTTTTTATACACCATGCGATAGAGAATTTCGAGCTGACCACGAATATATGTGCCTCAATTTTTTTTGATCCCGTTTTCCAGTCGAGAATATAAAAGCATTCGAAAAGTGTCAAAAACTCTAAAATCGCAAGGTTTCAAAAAATGAGTTGTAATTTTTCACCCATTGATTCTGAAGTTATGAAACAAACTTTTTCGGGTTCAATTCGAAAAACTGAGTCTAGAAACGCAACTTTGAAAGCTTCAGTCTCAAAAATGGGTTTTCGGCGGTACCTGAAGCGGGCACGTCTCAAAAGCGCCACACACATTTTGCAAACCTAGCACAGATTTTTCTAGAGATCCTACAGCAAAACGTTTTACATGGCTGGATTTGCCAGATGCCCCTCTTCAAAGCTATGTTCAGCTTTTCTCAAAATTCCTTTTCCTCGCAGAGAAAAGTCGTTTTTAGTGAGCATTACCCAAAAACGATCAAGTTCTTTTTCACCATTTCTGTTAGTTTTCTTCCAAATAAAGATTCATCATCGCCAGATAGACTAAAAACGATGAAGAACCCGATGAAAATATTCTCGATATCTTAAGAAGATCTTTAGAGGGACTTCAGAGGATTTCACCAGAACTTAATCTAAAAAAGCTTGTGAATCTCATAAAAAATTTACTCTTGTTTGAAAACACTAGTTCTGTTCCAAATAAAGTGTTTTGTCTCTTCTGAATTATCAATTTACAGTTTTACAGCAATCAAATCACAGAAAATATGAATAGGTGTTTAGAATAAAAACGTCAAGCCAAAATTACAAACGCCTTTGCTCTCATTTCATTCAAACATCCAAGTTACTGTTACTTATAGGAGTATGACTTTTGTCTGTTCCTATACATAAACCACTAAAAAGCACCTGTATAACCTGAGAATAATCTGTCCGTCGTTGTAGGATGTGCGTCTAGGTGTTTATCTTCTCTTAACCCACATCCACACCCACACCCTTTTGAAACTTTGATGATGATTGGCTGTTAATTTTCCTATGATGAAATCTGAATACACAACTAACCACTCTGGTGGTGTAAGAATTCTTTTATTGACACAACAGGTAACGAAATCGGTTAGTGTTACTGTTGTATTTCATCAATCCTTTTCCATTTGTTTTTTTTTTCGTAACCCATATATTCATATGGCCACAGCATCGCACGGAACAGTTTGTGTCAAATGCAAGAAAACAAAGCGCATTGTAACACGTAAAGGATGTTCTAAAGATTTTTGTATCGATCACATCAATGAACATCATAATGAATTAAGCGAGCAATTTGGTGAAACTGAAGACCAATTTAATAGGTTCAAAATAGAAATTGAAAAACAAAAATCCGAGCCACAAAAACATGCTTTAATGAAACAAATCGATGGATGGGAATACGAATCGATCGAGAAGATGCAACGAGTGGCAAATGAAGTTCGTCGTGTTTCATCATATTTGTCATTAATCACGATTCTGAATTGAAAAAATTGACAGAGCAACTGATTCAATGTCGTAGAGAAAACGATTTCGCCGAAGCAGACATTCAGTTTTTCAATAAAGAACTTGAACGATTACAAGACATGCTTAATAATCCACCATATTTCAAAATTGAATACAACACAACATCTTTCATCAATAGAATTTGTTTTAAAACGGAAGGTAAATCTATGTTCTATTTGAAATCGAAAGAGTTTTCCTTCATTCCGTTTTCTCGAATTAAGAAAATGGAGTTTTCAACTATGTAAATTGTATTTCATTACAGAACTTCGCAATTTAAAGAATTTAATACAGAAATTCTATTAATTTCAAGCCTTAAATCTCTAAATTTTTCTTTTCTTATCTTTATTATCCAGAGAGAAATAACGTGAAATAGTTAAGTAAATTTCGGTGTTTGCAGAAAAATGATTGACTTGATTAACATTTCTGACAACTTCTTCTCACACTATTTAACAATGACTCTTCAATATCTTAATGATATAAAAATAGTCATTTACGACACTGGAATCTTCGACGAATGATTCACATTTCTCAATATTAAAATGAAGATGGCTCGATCTTAAAGTTAATATGGATGCGCCTAATATCAAAGAATAGATTCATGAACAAAGAGTTTTACTAATCGGTTCACAGTTGAGTTCGAATCGGATAGGAAATAAACAACGTGTTGTCATCTTGAAAGATATTGACGAAACTTGAGAAATCCTATCGATCGGTATGGAAAAACAATCTGATTTGAAACATATTCGGCTTTCTCTTTGAAATCCATGAAAAAAAAGAGAATCGCATGGTATTCGATTTTCAATGAATTTCATTTAGTAAACAAAGCACTCATAAATTGATTTCGATTTGAGGTGCAATGTTTTGAACAACATTCATTTACCTACTTTAATTCGATTTTAGCATAAAAAAATGATCTTGGTTTCGAATATTCATACTTTAAACTTTTTGAGATTATATCGCGTAGCGATATAGAGTGAAAACAAAGAGGAACATGATATAATTGTTCTCTAAAACTAAATAAGAAGCAAAGAAAAGCGTATTTTAGAGATCTTAGTGATTCGTTCATTTGTATTTCTCTCGATATGAAATTGAACAAAATGAAAACAATTATTTTTGGAATGTAATTATCAATGACGCTTGAAATTGACTTTCTCCAGAAAATCAAAGTGATTACAGAATTTTCTTCTTTTAGGGATAAGTTCAACAATCTGTGCATAAAATATCTTATACAAGTGAATATTTTTTCGAAAAGATCATTTTCACATAAACTGTATTTCAATGAACATCACGTTTTGGAAAATCATTCGATCTTTCTCTATCTGAGAACTGATTGAATCTATCAATAACTATTCGGAATAGTTATTAATTGCAAAGTAATTTTTTGGCTATTGTCCGACTTTCTTGTTTTCTTTTTACCGTAAAAATGCAGATGTTTGGTTAAACAGTTGAGAAGATTTTCTGTAGTCAAGGAATATTTTGAAAATTGAAAGTCATTTCTTTTCGTTAATTAGTTGATCAAAAAATGTATCCCCTGAGCACCAGAAAAGAGAGTGTGTGTATGACTGAGAGATCATCTACCCTCATATACTCGCATACACCTTGCCAAAAAAGCCTCTTTTGGTTTTAAGAGTTCACAAATCCAGTTGATACAACTGAAATAACAAACACAACTATTGTAAATCATCCAAATGAAAGCACAAATGATGATGAAATGGATGCTGATGAAACATATCGTATTCAACGTATTAATTCTATAATAGTACCTACAAATAATGATAAATATGGTGGTACAATTTGTTGTCATGATAATCAATTAATTTATAATGATTATGATCGAAGAACTCAAAGCTTTTATTTAACTTTCATACCTGACATAAATGTTCTAAGAACAAAACATAATATTTATCGGTATGAACCAGATGTTACAAGTGGTCCTAGTGATGATGAATTAATTCAAGACATTGCATATTCAAATAAACTTTCTGGCTATTTAGTACTTAATCGTGTACGTTTACGTCTATTTAGACCTAACACAAATGATCTTATTGAGTTTCAAACATTTGGCGATCGTACTTTGAAACGACTATCATGTAGTGACACTTTTATTTATTTAGTTGTTGCTCGTAATACACGTAGGTATAATGGTGACGAAATTCTTCTAATTGATTATAATAAAGAAGAACAAGCATGTAAAACATTCCATGATGTAATGTCACATCGAATAAATCGAGGAACTGGACCAATAGTTGGTAATATAAGTGATCTAGCTGTCGGTTCAAATGAACAAGTAACAATTGGTTATTGTTTGGAAAGTCGTCATGAAGTTGGTATTTGTTTATTTAAGGTTTCAAATTATGGTAGAGCATGGACACTCATTAAACATTTATTACTTGATGATTGTTGGCATAATGATTTATCATGTACACCAAGAGTTGAGTGGTGTGAAAAATTAAATGTCATTATTGTTATTGAATATATGACGGGTCATTTAATAATGCTTGATCGAAATGGTCTAGTCAAAGGTGAATGTCTTTTTATGGATGTAGAAAATCCACATGAGGCACCAATTAATTTAAGTATATCAACGAATGCTTGGCTCTGTGCACGATATGAGTCATCAATTGTTATTCATAAAATCACTTCATAAAGTACTTGTAGTATTTAGCTGACATAATTTTTCGTTCGGAACTATTTAGATGTTGAATTAAAAAGCAATTCTAGCAAAGATTCGAACTATTTTTTGATTTTTTTGAAACTTAATGATTTTTTGTTTCTATAAATGCCTGAAAATATGTTCGGTTTATTATTATATTCTCTGCTGTCTCATGTTAACGAAAAATAATTGTGGATGCAGTTCTTTTGCGAAATGGAATGCAGAAGAAAGGTCTCAATGGGCCAGGTCGGACTGAAGAAAGGCAGTCCATGGGCTATCGAGCTTTATCCCTGTCCATGTATGGGCGTCGATAGACTATTCATTTGATTGCGATACATAACACAGTGTGTTTCTGTGCCTGAGTACCAGGATCAGTTTGGAGCTTTTCATTGCCAGCATACCCGCACTATATCCAACCAACAATGGAAAATTCCAACGTTGACTTAGTAGGCTTTGTTATTTTGTTGAACATGAGTTCGGTTTTTATTCAATAACACGAATCACGTAAAGTAAATAGCATAGATGAAAAGAAACAAGAAGAGAATAATCTAACGAGTATTAACACGAAAGAAAGAGAACATATATATGCATATGTATATACAGTGGCTCCCAAAATTATTCAACAAGATTTATTTTCAATTTTTTTCCGCTACCTTAAGCGTTAGAAAGACTCCACATAGTGATTCGAGTAGAGAAACTTGTTTTCAATAACAATATAACAAAATAAAAATTATAGCAAGATTCTTAAAGACGGGATCTCCAGAATACCAAAACCCTAGGTTTTCAGCACCCACAACTCATCAATTTCTTTGTGTTTTAACAGTCTAGTATGATAGAGTAACCAATTCTCTACAAAATGAAACGTCTTCGAGCTTTCTACAACTTTCTCTTCAAAAGTTATAAGCATCACAAAAACCGGAAAAAAATTGAAATTTATCAGAATATCGACTAAAAACAGTAGTTTTTCGGTTTTTGCGATGCTTATAACTTTGAAGAGAAAGTCGTAAAGAGCTCGAAGAAGTTTCATTTTGTAGAGAATTGGTTACTCTATTATACTAGACTGTTAAAACACAAAGAAATTGACGAGTTGTGGGTGCTGAAAACCTAGGGTGGTGTATGTGGGTGTGGGAGAAATAAGAACACCCACACCCACACCCTCATTGGCTTCAGTAGTATGATCACTTATTATCTAATTCCCACGGACGGCTATTCATTGTTTTTGAGAGAAAATTCGTTGGTTTCCGTAGTAGTTTACGCTAGCGTCTCAAAAGCTTTAAGTAGATTTATACATCAAGCTAAAGAACACAATTTGGACAAAATTTGAATACTTCTTGACGCACAAATACTCATCCATTTACCAATGTTTAGCTGAACTCCCATACGAAAGAACAAGATTGTCAATTATTCTTTGGCTTGAACAAACTAGATTGAACATTTCTGTGTAAATCAAAACAGTCTAAATCTTGAACTCCTTCTCCACTATTTATTAGGACTTTTCTGCATGATATTAATGATATCATTCATATGAGATTTTCAAATGAAATTGTTTTATACTTCGTAGTGAAAGTTAATGAATGTTCTCATGCAATGCGTCTGATATTGAGCGTCGAAGCGAAACTTCATTGTAGGCATATCGGTTCGTTTAGTTCCAAAACAGACAGGATCAAGACTTGATGTATTCCAGACAACGGAAATCTCTTGTCCTTCGTCGGTTGTACGAAATGCTTTCGTGCAACCAACCGGTGTAACACAAAGCTCATAGGGTTTCAAAAAGTGACTCTCGAATAAAATTGTCATGTTATAATATGGTTTCTCCCAAAATATGGTAAACATGGGACAATCATCACTATATGTAAGTCGATCGGTTATGAATGTTGCATTGTCACAGTTCGAGTTGATAAATTGTACACAATCATCAATAGGTCCAAAGTCAGCCATGCAATCCTCATTTGGGTAATGGCCATAGACAATGATTAAGGGCAAGACGATGAATAGTACGGTAAAAAGCAACTGACTTCTAAACTTCATTTTAGACTTTTTAAAATACAAATGTATGATTGCTCGGTTCCATTCTGTTTTAAAGTGATCGTATACATGCGCCAATCACTCAAAATTTTATCCTTGCAATTAATACGTGCACGATTTGGTGTTTCTGTATGATAAAGATAGAAACAATTGAAAAATGGTTTTGTTAATCCTTAAATAATTGCTTTCTAACGAGTACGTTTGCTTTCCTTTGATTTATAGAATCAAATACTTGTTATTCACTAGAGCCAGAAAGAAAAAAAAACATAATTGCAGATTTTTTAGTTGAAATTTGAAGGACTTGATCATTTCGTCCATTAATAGTGCTTAAGAAATATAGCAATGCCTGGTTGGATTTTCAGAATTCTATCAGATTGTGCAATCACAGAACAATTAGAAGCGTCATGATTGATTCATGGTCTTCGCAAGAAAAAAAAATGGTTCAAATGAGTCATATCCTCGGCAACATTTAGCAATATGTATGGTTATAAGTGTCAAATGACTGTTGGGATATCTTTCAGTTCGATAGTCAGGTATTGAGACGTTTCTGTACGGTACACCTTTCCTTTTTCTGTGTTAAGTGTCGAGCACAAGTGATGTAAGAAAAATTCACTAGTGTTTTGCCCAAGCTGATATCGCCATTGACACGAGCGACGAATCTAGCTCGAAGGATCGTCGATTGTCATGTGTCAGTAGGCAGCTGAGTAAAGTGAATCTTTGCCCGTTGGATAAATGGATCAATGCCTTGACTCTGCCAAGATGAATGTTTTGTTACAGCTGAGTCGATCTATACAAAAGATGATCTAACTAAACTTAGTTGTGAAATGTTTATATGGAAAAGCACAATCTATTGACGAAGCAAGACAGAGGCAAAGACCGTAGCGAATAGAAAAAAAATCACCAATCGTTTTGATATGGTTCGATTACTTTTTACACTAGCGCACGGTCCTATTCGATTCTTCGTCATTCTTAGCACTTTCAATGAATAACATAGTACATCGTTTATTTTTTATTCATTATTTTTATCTATTTATGGGTTGATATCCATAATGCCTGCAATGTAGTGTTTCTCTAAAATTATTTTTGTTTTAGGTTATAACTTTTTAATATCGCTTACTGGAAAAAGTAGCGTCATCTTACTTATATTTTTGTCCATGGGCACTTTGCACTTTTATTGTATCAATCAAGTTCTACATGTAAATATCGATTTTCTACAGTCTCGGCCGATAAATCCTCCACATTTTCAAAATATTTTGTCTTTATCACCACACAAAATACATAATTTTATCTCAATGCGATCGAAAAATATTGAACACTCAAGGCCCACGAAAAGCTGGTTTGTAGGCTCACCGATGGTCAAGAAACGCTTATTGTCAGATTCGGTCTTTATTATTTGCAGACAGTAATTGAGCCAGTTTTTAAAAAAATTGAACTTTCCGAATATGTCACCAACTGCCACCTTCGTCACATCGGTTTTGGTTATTTATTGCCAAAATTGAAGATACGCTCATAGTTCGATTTTCTGTCACGCAATATTAAAAATGACACCAGTACTAAATGAACGACCTAAAGATGCTCGGAGAGACTAGAGATAAAAGATAAGATTCAGCGACATAAAACCGAATAAACAGGATGTGCATGTGGATGAAGAGAAGGCACATACACATTCATGCATCCTCACACACTGTATTCTGATACTTTTCCTGCTGAAAGCACCAAATAACCTAGACTGTCAGTAGCATACATGTCATTTTTCACTTTTAGTAATGCACGTATGCGACATATGTTTACTTTACCGTTTTGTTCGTATTATTAAAATAGCAACACCGTAGCTAAGCGATGCAAGAGAATAGACAAAAAAAGAAAAAAAGAAAGTAGAAGAATATGATGGTGTAATTATGTATGAGTGAATAATATTTTTAATCAAACTACAGTGTTATGATAGGAAGAAAACACGTTGAGTGATGGTGATCAATATGAACGTTATATCATGTCAAATAAAGTTGGATTTATCGAAGAATGTCTTCATTAGACGTCTTGCTACTAAAAGCAGCATTTTCAATATTCGAAATGACTGAGAGTACGACGTAATAAACTTGAAATTCCAATGTCTATCAATTTTTATAAGTGTCTAGTGAAACAGCATTCTGGCTGAGTAACAGTATAATTTACCAACACATATTTTTTTTAGAACAAAACATGATGCAATACATTCTTCTTTTACGAAAGTTAGACATTCATTGCATAAACCAATTGGAAGAAATCCTTTCCAACATATAAATAATGATTATTTATGGTGGCGACACATGTATGGTTTGTTTTTGGAAAAATCCTTTTTTCACTCCTATTCAATCGAGAAGTGAAAGCTTGGGCGCAAAAATATGCACACGTTTTGTCCTCTTTCTTTTCATCGTCTGATTGTTTTTCGCATGATTTAGTGTTAATAAAAAACAAAAAATGCATGTGGTCGATAAAGAAAAGGAAGAAGAAAAAAGTAAGTAACGTTTCTTTTAAAATTTTGTCCCTTTGCAACAGTAA